ACGCGAAGAGCAACTGCCAAGCAAAACCTGCTTAACATCAGTGGCACTCCTGTGGTTGGAGGCGACTTCCAACAACTTCCCCTGGCCAATCATCAATGACATCATCGGAGCCCACCAAACTGAGACACACCCACACGCGCATGCACTCGCACACACAGTGTCCAAACTCAACAAGTAAGCACGGGGCATACATGCAAGATCGCTTGATCACAAACATATCCAGAGAACACAACAAGCAAAGTTTGAATCGGAATCTTTACCAAAAACATCAACGGGACAACAAACAGGATTTTCTCAGAAACATTGAGAGTTCTTGCACAACACAAAAAAAAAAACGATGCTGCAAAGGTAATGGCTTCCCAAACAAAAGACTCACAGATAAAGTAAAAAAAACGCTTCGGTGGTATTCCCTCCTATTTTCTTGAATGCAGATTTCAGTCTGCTCTCAGTCTCTTCTTTTTCTTATTGTGAAAGAAGCGGCATATGATAGGGCGGTTCGTTATGCTTTTTCTTTCTTTTGTGCGTTTTCCTTTTCTGTTTTTGCGGGCGAAGCCGCAACGGGTCATCTAGTAGAGATAAAAATTCATAATGTCACCGCTGAATTGCAGACGGTGACGAGACTGGTTAAGGGAAAGAACAAGGTGGTGCATGAGGAGGTGACCAAGAAGAAAGAAGAAAAAACGTAGGAAAAATTAATGAGGACGCCAGAACAACCCGGAACATCTCGAAAGGAACCCGAACCCGCCAAAGAAGAACCGGCAAAGAAGGAAGAAGGTGAAAAACCAAAGCGCAGAGAGAAGGTGAAGATCAAATTGTCGTTCAGTACAATGGCAAAAGAGGTGAGCACCTTCTTTGGATTGCTGAAATCCAGACTTATTGTGGCACCGCTCCTATCGAGGCCGAAAGTCAAGTCGCGTTCTGAATTGCATGTTTGGGTGAAGTTGTAAAGGAGTGATTCTTGTCTGAGGCCAACACCGCTGGCTTCGAAGATATTGGTGAGTGGTCCAAAACAATGACACCGCGGGGATTTCTCCAAAAGATAAGGAGAGATTCCTCGACAAGACAACTGTCGACAAGGCATTTGATGAACTGACCACTATAAGCCAAAAGCGTTGGACAATTGTCGACGCTTTGTCTCCTGAGGTGGATCGTCTGTTGCAGGTATCTGGTTTGAACTTACAAGACAACCATGTTTTTTACATATCTACTCTCGAGCGTTGCCCGAACCCATTCGCGACAGCTCGTGGCAGAATCTAAAATCTTGTAAGTACAATTATCGGCAATTTCGCGATCTCGCGCTCCAGAGGGAGCAAATGACAGCGCAGGTAAAGGGAACATATGCAAGCATGGTCAAAAGTGGACCGGCAGGCGGGTACGGGAATGGAAATAGGATCCTGTGTAGGCAAAAGGGACAGGATCGCACCCTTGTCGTTTGACGACACAGTTGAGAAGTGGCCCAACGACGAGGCCGAGGGTGTAGCAAACAGTGGCAGTGAGTTTGGAAAGGGTGACGTCACTGCCATTGTGGCCAACAAGGGTGAGACCAATAGGAATGGGAATTTTAAGAAGAGCAGACCGCGCTCCTTTTCAGAGTATCCCGATATAGCGGCTGGGAGGCCTTGGGAAAAAATGGGTCTGTCACAGGACGAGTGGCAGGAACGAATGAATAATCGGCAGTGCCTGAAGTGCGGCACTGCAGGGCACATCATTGCATGGTGCCCCCTCATTCCTAACCCAAAAGTGAGCAGCCAGTAGGATTAGCGTCTGCTCCTACTGAGTTGGAGGGTCCAGACAAACTTCCAACTCGCATGGCAGAGGATGACTCTTCTTCGACCCATCGCCGAGAACACCCTGAAATTGTTTTGTGTTTTGTTTCTCTGGGCGATACTCTCGACGAACTTGGTAATGAATTGATTGCATTTAGAAGTTTGTGGGCTAAGAAAGCGAAGTCTAAGGGTGAACTCATGATTGCTGATGTTGAAATTGCACGCATACGTGTAGGTGCATTGTTAGATCCAGGTTTCACGCGATCCTACATCTCGGAAAAGGCAATAAGAAAGTTGCATCTGGGAATGAGAGTGCAAGATCTGTCTAGACCTATCACGTGTATACTTGTTGACAAAAGCACGATCACTGTTTCTCAGTTTGTTGATCGTGTCAAATGTTATTTCAGAACGAGGGAAGGGAAAAAAAAAATGTATAAAGTTACCTTCCTCGTAGAGAAGAACCTACCCTTTGACATGATTGTGGGAATGGATTGGCACGAGGAGGCCGACCTAGATATCAAGTTCAAAGATAACATTGTCAAAATTAAGGACAAAAAGTCCGATCTTAAACCACCAATACCTTGCTCAGCTATCGGCCGCGGGCCTTCCCGGATACGCGCCGCAGCCTTAGGGGGGTCGGCCAAGGGAAGGCCCGGTCGTAGCCAGAAAGCCGTGCCCCGCTTCTGTAGGGACGACGTAGTAGAGGGGGGAAAAAAAAAAAGAAATATACAAACGAAAAAAAAAAGAAATACACAGAAGGAAAGTCGCGCTCGCGCGCGCGTGCGAGAGAGAGAGAGAGAGAGAGAGAGAGAGAGAGAGAGAGAGAGAGAGAGAGAGAGAGAGAGAGAAAGAGAGTGTCTTGTTTCGCAAAACGAGACCGGAAGATGCATTCCCGTTTCGTTTCTCGAAAAGAGGGAGAGAGAGAGAGAGAGAGAGAGAAGAAAACGATATGTTCATGGCAAATTTTGCAACCTGTGTGGTGCGCTCGCCGTGAGATGAGAGGCCTAAAAACTTACTCAAAAACAAAAAAAATTCTTTCGAAGGCTCGAAAAAAAAAAAACAAGGCCGGTGAATTTTCACAAGCACATTTTTCATAGGCGCGTGAGCGCTTATAGAAAAACTGGCTCAGAGAGAGAGAGAGAGAGAGAGAGA